CCTCCGGCTCGCCGGAGCCCCCCGAGGGCGGCGGGGCGAGCGCGTGCGGGGCGGCCGAAGGCGCGGGCTGCAGCAGCAGGCACGCCCCGTCGCGGTAGCAGTACTCGTGCAGCTGGTGGCTGAGGAACTCCACCTCGGCCTGCTCGTCCGCCAGCAGCTCATCGCCGTCCTCCAGAGGGTCCCGAGAGGACTGGTCGGTGAAGAAGTCCTCCTCGTCAAAGTAAGGAGACGGGAAGGCGTCCAGGCCCCCGGGGAAGTGCTCTAGCAGCACCGCGTCCATGCTCTGTGCCGCCGCGGGCCTGAACGGCTGAGGGGCTGAGGGGTTCTCTGGAAGTTTAACGGTGCGCGGCTTGCTCGCACGGCGGCCCCCTCCCTCCCGGGGGGGTGATGGTGAGCGAGAGGCAGGGAGGACTGCCCGCCCGCTTCCCGCCCCCGGCCTCCCTGGAGTGTCCGCGGCCGCTGGGCTCTGGCCGGCGCCCGCGCTGCGCCGGGGAGGGCTGTGGCCGACTTGCTGAAACTGAGGGCCGGCACGCGAGGATTCTTATAACTACATCCACAGGCGCGTGCCAGGGACCCGCGGCGCCAGCCAATCACCGAGTACGGGGTGCCGGCGGGGAGGGGGCAGGGAGGCCCCGTCGGCGGCGCGGGGGCCGGGGCGGCCTTCCTCCCAGTGGGAGCTCCTGGGGCGAGGAGGAGGCGGGGCCCGCGCGGCCTGGGGCCAGTCGTGGCCCTCCCCGCCCGCCCGCCCGCCCTTCTGACGAGTACCTGCGGGGCGCGGGGCTCCGGGGGCACCTGCGGCCCGCGGCGTCCGCCCTCCCCCACCCGCCCCCCCCTCCCCGGGCCCGGCGCGCTGCGCAAAGCCCGGCTCTTCCGCCCGGGGGCTGGGGCGCGGCGCGGGGCGTCTTCGCGCCGCCACAAACGGTCGGGTGGGTGCGCGTGGGCGGCGCAGCTGAGGAGCGGATTGCGAAGGGAGCCCGCTCGTCTTCGGGGTGGGCGCAGGCACCGCCTGCAGCCTGGGCAGTCGGGTGGGTGCCTTCGCCGCCGCCAGTCCCGGGCGCGCGCCGGCCTCCCGCCTGAGTTCCTCCGGGTCTTCTCTCCTCACCGGACTTTTCTAGGACTCCTGTAAAGTTGGCACGGTGTGTGCCGGTGAGGTTAGGAGGCGGCGCGGTGCATCCCAACCGTTCCAGACCCTGCGCGGAGTCTCGGGGCGCGAGTCTGCGGCGCGCCTCGCCTCCCCTCCTTTACCCCGCCCGGAGAGAGAAACGGGGACACGGAGGGGCTGCCTCGGAGAGCGGCTCAGTGGGGCACGTTTCTTCTGAGAGCAAATAGAGACCCTAGGGCTTTGGAGCAATAAAACCTGATACAAAAGAAGTCAAGTGAATCGTCTGCTCTGGAGCAGTCCGGAGGGAGGGCATGGACGTTAAAGGGCGGGGTGTGAACCCTTTCAAAGCCCGAGTCCCTCACCTTTCTGCTGGCCACCGGATTGGCCCTGAATGATTTTTTTCTTTCTTGACCTTAAAAACAAAAAACACCGAAGGCAAAACGTATGTGCTCTGCCCATGACACGCTTTATCACAGCCTGCGAAGCAACACGAATTCTTCATTTTAAGAGTAACAAACAAACACTTTCAAGGTTGGGGCAATTCTTGTAAAAAGCCAAGTTCCAACTTCCACCCCGGGAGAGTAAAGTGAGAGTAAAGTGGCACATGTTCTCTGAATAGAGAACTGAGAGCCAAGGGCTTCGTGGGTCAGCCGCTTCCTTTTTCAGACGCTTGTCTCACCAGAGGCGTCTAGGGGTTTTTCAGACTTCTGTCAAAATCCAAGGCCATGCCTTTTAAGAACAGCAATTTCGACAGGCTTCTTGGTTTTAGACATTACACTGGACGTAATTCAATTCTAAGACCCAAAAGTTAGGGGCAAAAATTACATAAGATTAGAAGACCAGAGAACACCCTACCTTGAACTGTAAAAAAAAACCCCAATTTTCACCCAAAGACTTACTGTTTTACAGTAAGTTCTTTCATGTGTCTGCTGATGCCCTTCCTGGTGAGGTGGTTATCCTTAAGCTGATGAACGTGTGGGCAGATACCCTGTGTCAGAGCCTGGGCTGCAATTTCTCGCATCTAGATTTATCTTTCTCACCTCAAAGAGAAGGAAGCTGTTGGGCAGTGGGGGGTCAAGAGCACAGATCTAGCCAGCTGGTAGCGCACGCCCAATGCTTTTTACATTTAAAAGGCCCTCATCCCTGTCCCTCACTTGGTTAGACTGAAATTAAGTGGGAACATGCTCTTGGATCAATCTAAGGACTTTGGAAGGCTAAGAAATGATCAGATTTCAAAGCCTTATCCAAAATACTGCTAACGGTTCAGTGAAGGACAGATTGGATTCCAGCCTACAAAGGCTGTCTCTGATAGATCTAGGTGGCTCTTGAGAAAGTATTCGTGTCATGGATATGTTGGGAGAGGCTGGGGTTCTTGGGAGTCAGTAGGTGTGTATACGGGTATCTTTTTACCCAAAGTGATTGTAAGTTAGCCTTCACAGAAAATCACTTTACATATGCTCGGTGAGTTTGTGGGAGAGGACAGAAAATTACTCTGGGCACCCAGGTGAGCTAATGGGGAGTGTGCTGGAAACCTTACTGCCTCATGAGGCTGAGCAGGGCTAGCTAGCATGGACATTCTGGACAGTTCCTGGGGCTTCATGGATGAGCACGGGGTAGGAGGAAAAGAGAAGGCATTCACTTGTTCCAGACATAACCCCCTTCACCCTCTTTCTCCTCACTTCCCCCATTTTCCCCTTAGAGAACCACCGTCTAGAGACCAGTCCTATTGGGAAGCAGGGCTAGGCCTGCAGACGCTGATCCTGGGGTACTGGTGTGGGCATGCATGTAAGTAAGACATGATTGTTCTTTTCTCTAATAAAAAGAAGAAAGGCTTCACCACTAATAAAGGAAATTTTCTCCGGGTCACTGGAGGTCACAACAGTGTGGATGGCTGCGCCCTGCCTCTGGAAGCAACCCATTGGTTGAGGAAATGGCTAGAGGCCCAACTCTCCTTCCAGCCCTTCCCCCCTCACTTCCTTGACCCCCTGGGCAGTGCGTGAACATGGAGAGGGACATGATCGGAAGGTTCCAGGTACTTTCTGGAGATAGGGACAGAACTGACCCCAGAGCTGCAAGCTTCTGCACCCCTTGCTGAGGTCCAGCATCTTTTTCTTTCCACCCTCTGTTCTCGGGAGAGATGTCCCCTAACCTTATAAGGAGTCTCTGCCTTGTTTTATAATATAACGTCCATCCCCTAAGGCAGGCAGCAGCAAGGGCAGTTGTCCATTATTGTACCAAATCCTGGTGAGGTCTTGAGATTCTTTTCAAATCTTTCCGAAGTCGCTCGGTGCCACCTGCTGTCCCGGACCCGTTGACTCCTGCCATACTTCCCTCAGGACTGCTCAGGGACCTCATACCATCTTCAAGGTTCTCAGTCCAGGAGAAATTCTGGCAAGGGCCACTGGGCATTGAAGGCATGCCCAGTGGCCCCGTGGTGCCCCCACCTGGGTCTCTCCGCTCTCTCCCTCCCAGGAGTCTCAAGGACCTGAACACTTGTTCATTTGTTTCCCATCAGACCTTTCTAGCATCTTGCCCTTGCTTTTGGGAACAATGACTGGAGGGTTGGACCCCAGGTCCCTGGCAGGCAGAGGCCACTAATGAAGAGTGGGGCCTCCAGACTCTCCGTCCTTCGGCTTGCCCTGCGCACGTTCCCATAATGTTCCACGCTTGCTCGGCATATGTCCTCCCTGCTGGAGCCCAACTCCACAGAAACCAGGTGCAGCTGTCCTGCCCCCACGGTATCCTACGCTCCTCGCCTAGTGCTTGCTAGCAGGTACTCCGGGATGTGACCCCTGGTCTGTCTCCTGACTTGAAGACGGGTCCATGTTGACTCCTCATGACCCAGATTGTCCCTTTCCTCACTAATCACACAGAAGTGATGTCAGGAGGTTGTTTGTCATCTCCTATATCTGTTCTCACCTTCTTTACTACTCCTTCTCCCTCCCCTGTTCTGTGAAACCTTTCTTCTCTCCACCCTAGTGTCCTCGGGAACCCATTCTTTATCCCTATACTCTTAGGAAAGGACTTGAAAAATAGAATCATAGAGTTAATGGTGAAAGGTTTCTGAGGCCCAGAGAGGTTCAGTGACTTCCCCAAGGTCACACAGCAAGTGACCTCAGCCCAGTGCTGGTTCCACTGTCTGCTGAGAGCAGCAGGTTCCAGCCCTGCTTCTGCCCACTCATAAAGGGCTTATTTATGTCGGTGTGCAATGGAGTCAGTCCAGGCCCTGTTCAAAGCCCACCCCATCTACCAAATACCACTTTTCTGGCCTCCCTAACTCTTGAGTCCTGGCTGCACTGCGGATACCACAGTACCTCCTGAATGCTGAGGAAGGAGTCACTGAATAGTGCAATTCGTGGCATAAGACAAAGTGTACAAAATTAAATATGGGATCATGGGAAGTCACACTGTATTGATTATGGGTGGTTTTTCCACTGAGGAGGCCCACTAGGTGGGATCATTTGACATTTTGTACCATCCTGAAAATGATGAGCCTAGAGGATGCTGAACTCCTTGATACAGCTTATGAGGCCTTCCTTGAACTACCCCTGCCTACCTCTCCATGTCTCTCAGGTACTCCTTACTTCATCCATAATTAACATTCTATTTCTTCAGATGCCCTGGGGATTTCTCTCTGGTTTTCTTTGTTTCCCTCCTACTCTCCTTTGCACTGATCTGAGTTCCTTGAGTTGTTTTGAAGCCCTTATATTTATTCTACCCTAAGGTAGGCAGGAGTAACACGAATGCTAGAAAAGGCAGACACATTTTGGAGGACTTTCAGACATATGTATCCTTCACCCGCATCATTCTGCAACCTGGAGGGTGTCTTCCTTACTTCACCCGGTGAATAAGCGAGGCTCGGCCTTCAATCCACGGTCAAATGGCCGGTAAGATAAGGGGTGAGGATTCAACACCAGGTTTGTCCGGCTTTATGTCGCATTTATGTCACATAGCATCTCTCTGCCCCTCCTCTATCTCTACACTTAAAGTAGCTGATGTAATAGGATTTTCACATGGATCAACTGATTTGCTCCTAACATCACACTGTGAAATCACCTGGAGGTATCATCATTATTTGCGAATAGTAAGATTCAGAGAGGCCAAGGAACTCTCCTGGAGCACCACAGCTGCCGCCCCAACACCCCACGTAGAAGTAAGTAGATCTGTGGCACAAGGAGTTGGGGATGTCAGCATCGTTTGAAAAAAATAAAAAAAAGACGCTCTCCACGCTGAGCCTTCTCAGCCTAAAAAAACAAAAAAAACAAAAAACAAAAACCCAGCTGGGCCATGTCCCAGTTGGGAATGAGGGCAGGAGGCATAGGTCTGCCCCCAAACACAAGAAAATCCAAACCCTGAACACCCACCTCCTTCCTTCTTGACTTTACATTTCCCATTGTTAAACATTAATCTTTTGAGGGAGAAACACCAAAATGCTGATATAATTATCCA